AACACTGTAGACTCCGCCAAGAGCGGTCGACCGAATAAAATGGATATCTTAATCGGACAAGTTCATTGTAATGGCAGGTAATAACTATACAGCTGCGGTATCTAACGTACGCATTCCAACGTTTTGCGCGTGGTACGATTTTTCCCGGGCAGCCTTTTGCTAGCCATAGCGCCTCAGGCCGGCATGCAGCAGTGAACATTGCGCCGTTAAGGGCGAGAGGGGGTTGAAGAAAAAGTGTCGCGTTCGCCGATGAGCGAAATACATTTCCGGCTGATCGATTTCCCACAGTGACATCGTGTGCCCGTGCTCACTCTCGCCGCGCACAGCTTACAAAAAAACTTTAAAATATATGTCACATCTTTGAAAACCCTCGCTGCGCACCAGCTTTGGGTGGGATGCTGCGGGAGATCGAACAAATAAAATGTGTACCCTAATCAGACAGGAGAGCTGTACTTGACGCTGATATCCCTAAAGCAGCGCTGCGGAATGCACAGAGCCTCACTCTTCGCGCGCGATTATCAGTGTTTGCGGCGTCCGCGTCACGCTTGATATGATTTTACAGGCTGGCTGGCCGCATGCAGAAATGCAAAACAGTTCATGTCCTCCGAACACATATTTATATGGCCGGCCGGTAGTGCTCCCACAATGACATAGTGTGCACGTGGTCTCCACGCCACACACGACTGCAACCATTTTGAAGGAGGGACTTTAATATCGATTGCGCAGTCTAGTGGAGGCCTATGGCGGAACATACAAGATTCGGTGGTCACCGAATACGAGCAGACAACAAAGCAGAGGTTTGTGCCAGCCGATGGCGGCTCCCCGGAGGACTGCGTGCATGGGCTTTACCATAAGTACGGTTGTCCACCCGCTGTATGCACGGCAGTGACGTCACTTGTTTACGTCGGACAGCCGGAACATCGGAACGTATAGATAATGAAGACACCGATAACGGAATGGCATGAAAGTGGAATGCGTACACGCAAGAATTATACAAAATAGGACGGCCACAACATCGACCTCTTCGTATCGATATTGAGCAGATTGTTAGCGACAGGCTCATGAGACCAGCAGATCAGCTGCATGGAATCCGACGTCGAATATTATTATGTGCTTTGCAGGCTTCTGCGGTTAACCATTTCAACGAAATCGGCGCGGAAATGAAACACGCGGAAATGAAAAAACCGCAAAAGCACGAACTGCTGCAGAGATGGGCGGCCTAGACATCGGCTGCCCTCGTATCGATGATGGACAAACTGTTGAGGGTAAGTGCATATAGCGAGCGATCCGGATGCGGAAATGTCAGTAAGAAGAATGGTGATGTGTTAATTGCAAGTTGGCATGCTAAGCGGGTGAAATGCAATCAGAGTGAAAAGCGAATGCGTTTACAAGTGAACTGTTGTAGGCCGGAGGCCCGAACTTCAGACTACCTTTTCACCAGAAACGTAGCATGCAGATTATTACTGATAGGTACATAGATTCAGAGTCTGATAAGTTAGAAATGAAGCTAAGCATGATCATATGCTTTGCGAACTGATATTCAGCCGAACCTTTAAAAAAATGCAATGGACTGAGAGGCTAAAAGTGTACCAAGTCAAGACGCAGCAAGAATCGTCGGCCGGTTTTACCTCGGCCATGTACGGCCTTGGTGATCAGAAAGTGGCATTGCATACACATGGTGCTGCACCCACAGCGCAAGCCCAAAGGAGAATTCAATCATACGGATTTTTAAAAAAATCACTGTTGCGCGACTGCGTGAACTGAGATGCTGTCGTATGGCTGACCGAATGAATGAATACGGTTGCTGGATAAATGTATTGTGTTGAACTGTTTTGGGTGTGCTCTGGGCCGAATGCTCCACATAAAGCTTGACCTCAACTATCAAATTCGCATGTTATGCTTGCAGATGACTCTCGTAGAGCAGCGCCATCTTAAGTACACAGGCTTTCTCTTCACGTGCGCTTACAAACTTATCTAAACGCCACCTTATGCTAGCCATCATGCTACGAGCGGTCAGGCTCAGACCCCAGTCAGGCTCCGCATCTACGGAGACTAGGGCATTCTTCCTTAGTATCTGTATGGCCTTGGTCAGGCCACAGAAACTAATGGAAAAATGGTCGTGTCGGCCGATTAGCGAATTCCATAGCATGCCGATATTGCTTCCGCAATACTTCCACAATGACATTGTGTGCACACAGCTATACGCACCGCGCACGACTAACTGCATCTTAAATTTGTCGCCGAATCTTTGCAAATCGCTGTTGCGGAAGGTCAGCCAGCGTTAGATGAGACGCTGTCGTGTGGTTGGCCAAGCACAACGGATGGACTAATCGGACAAGTGTGATGCACGGAAGTCTGATGGCCCTTTAGCAGCCCTATTGAATACATACAGTCACACTCTTCGCGTCCGATTAAAAAAGAAAATGCAAACAGGTACATATTTGACATTTTTGGTTCTGTGAGCTAAGCTTGTGAATGAAAATGCATTATAGAATGCAACTTACGTTTCGTAACTTACGTTGACCTTGGGTCAGATATGAAGGTCAGACCGAGGTTGAAACCAACCCGCTTTTGTGTTGGAGACTTGTTATATGGGGTTGTTCCTGTCGAATAGTTTAAATGTCTTGATAACCGGGACCGACAGCGACATCTTCCATGAACATCTTGTGGGAAAAAGTACAATTACTCTTTAGTTAGAGTACACCTACTGACCTGAAGTGACCCAGAACGACTTTTTTAGGAACACACCGCCTAACGTCATTCTTGATTCTCATTCCATTTCAAAATTGAAAGAGGCTTTGCAGGTTTTTGGTCAATATGACTTTGTAAAGGTCAAAAAGGTCACTGACCCAGGACAAACACCAGTGACCGTATGCTGAGAACAGGTATCTAGGTCCAAGGCTGTTGTATGTGGAGGTCTGGGAGCACTTTGAAAACTGATCTTGAATCTGACCTTATTTGATTTCATGCTACTTGTGGACCTAGGAACTTTTTAGGACATAGGAACTTTTTACACAAGTGAGTTCGCATAAGGCTAATCTACTCTGTAAATTTAGTGTCTCTACCGCAGTCAGTTTTTTAGATCTCTGCGGGGCCCAACTGAGCCCCTTCCAGAGCGCGTGGAATTCAGCCGGCTACCGGAGTGCGTGTTAAGACCGAATTGGGACTTAAGCTGCGGTTGAGCAAAAACAAACTTATGTGTCTAGGACGATTAAGAAATGAGTTGAAGGCAGTGGACTGAGTTAAAGGGTCACAGAAATTTAGGATGTGGGGCATTTGGTTTAGTGCAACAGAGTCATGTGACCAGGAAAATACAGTACCAGTCCCCCATAATGGATCTGGACGACATGATAAAACAGAACGGTACATTATTAACTGCTGCCGAGTTTAAGCAAAGCATTCACAGTTGGGAGCGGACTTCTCACAAAATCAGGGATTGAAAAGCGTAATCCTGGCGGCGCGGAAGTCGATGTTGCGCGGCGACTCAGAAGTGGCACTGACTCAGGACGGCAAGGCCTTTTCACTCTCGATACTCCATGTTTCGATGATGTATGTGAATGCTCAAAATTCATCCACAAGGTGGCTTTTCAAGTTTTCGGTTCGTTGCAGTGTTTGCTTGCTTCGCTTCGTCACATCACGCACTCACCCACTCTATTCTATCCGTATGCTGCCCTGTCCTGCCGTGTCGTGACGTGCCGTGCCGTGCCGTGCCCTGTCCCACCTTGCTCTGCCCCGCCCTGTTCTGTCCTGTCCTTTCCTGTCCTGGCCTGGCCTGGCCTGGCCTGTCCTGTCCGAACTACGTTGATGTGTGGGTCTGTATGCTTGGTACGCCGCACTGGCCGCCTCCGCTTTGGAAAACCCCCGGTGGTCGTTTACTCTGAACTGCGGTGTTGACGTGCAAGTCACGTGGCTAAAGAGACCGCCCGGATCGCGACCCTTGTTTTTTTGGCCGGTATTTGAGAAAGAACAGCCGACTCCGTATCTTTAAACACAACGAGCCGGGTTGGGAATCAGTCAGTCGCATACGACGACAGTGATGTTATATGCCACGATGAAAGGGAGTGTTACACTTTGTATGGGGTTTCGAAATGAAATAGCCGTTTTGAAGATAATTCGGTGCAGGTCACAGCCCTGCCCTTCCTAAGATCTAAAATTCGTAGTTCTAGAGCTACACGCCCGCGAAGATACGCAGACTATTTCGGGGTGATTATGTCAAGGTCACAAAGGCATCTATGACGACATAATAACGTTATTCAAATCCTGCCATTTTCTTAGCCATGCGACGACTAAGGCCCATAGAAATATAACGAGTCGAGTCGTTCATATCTGGTGTTCGTGAACACGATTTACAGATAAAATAGCCGTTAATCGGCTTTTAATCACTGTCGTGCACTGTGCAAAGACACAATAAAAAAATGACCTGATGAGGGGCATACTTTTACACAGAACAGTTGGGGTGTCGAGAGCAGTCCTTTCCACTTAAGAGTGTACTACGAAATAAAAGCGCTGTTACTCCATCATATCTGGTATTAGCTCCAACATCTTAAAATGTGAAATATTTCGTTGACGATGGCAAGAATATTTTTGGAAATGGTGGGAGCGGTTGGTGTGGGTAAGATGGGGGAGCATCTATCAATCGATAAGCATGAAGACTGAACTCACGTTGCGAAGAGTTCGCATGGCCTCCAAACGCGATGAGAATGATAATTAGTCTTTTGCGAATTTCATGGACAGTACCTGTTCGACTGGCTTGAGTGGTGTGTTTCTTAATCAATCACGGGCTATGATAACGTAACGTTGTGTCACGACGCATAAACGTGACGGGATTCTGGTCGTTATTGAATGGCCTGATTATCTTCCTTCTGCACAGCTGTTTACACCTTCTACTTCGCAGGTAAATTGCGGCGTACTTCAAGGGCACGTGGCAATCGCAGTTCAAGCCAAGCAAAATCAAGCAGGCACTCTTCTGCGCGTCCAGATCTGAGGTCACATTTGTCAAGATGATGAAGCAGAAGGCACATTTCAACTACGGTAAATGAAAGCTAAATACTTCAGTAGACGCTACTCAAGAACCTCTTGTCCTGTATATTTGATATGTCTATATTGAGATCTTTGTTCTTCATTGTGAAAGTGTTTATGCACAGGAACCTGCAAACGTCAAAACCTTTTAGCGCAACGACATAAAACGCGCTATAATATCACACTGTAACCCGCAACCCTAGCCCTCTAGTACAAAATGGGAGGCAAAAAAACGCATGGCACAACTTACAATTGTCGTGGCCTGCACTGGAAACAGCCGAGGTACGCTCGCAGTGACTTACCAGCTTGCTACTTTCCTCAAGGCTATTGCACACGAAACAAGGGTGTAGGTTACATGCGTTTTTCCAAAATAGGTCATCGGAACTGGGGTGCCACAGAGCACAGCGAGCTGTGAACGGTATTAGCATTACGGGCTAGTTCGTCGACACGGTCAGGGGATGTGAGGCCTTGATACAAAATGAGTCCAAGATGGTTGTGCCTGTCCGTGAGGAAGATCTTTTGTCTTGCGAATGTCATGGTCCGCTAGAGGTGGTGAGCGTTGTTACTAGATGTGCGGCAAACGGTTTCGGGTAAAGTGAAAGTTATGGCAAAGGTTGACGCTACTTTTCAGTGAGATATGTAATGTCGAATACATTTCTGCACGTTTTCACGTGTTGCGTACCATTTGATACACGCAGCGATTTGTCGTCAGAATAGAACAGAACAGAACTCTATTCCGTCTTGTCTGTTAGTCCTTGTAGGTAGAAAATGTGCGGAGCCCAAGATACATCCCTCCGGGTAACCAAGCGTTCATTTAATGTGTCGTAAAATATGCGCGACCTATTCTTGTCTGTTAATTAATCATTCATTTTAACTTATCCCGTTCTTATCATTACAAGCCTTGTCTCTGGTTTTGTGGACTCAATGCCTCCAACAAGCTGCATAGCTTGTGCACGAGTTTTGGTTGGGTGCAGTGGTGAGCCTGGTACCCCTAAAGTATTATCAAATATAATTTTGTTTGGGTGGGACAAGTCTCTCAGGTATGTCTTTTAAACCTGTCGACGACTTAAATCAGATAATTGATTATGTCTTGACGTGCCTCAAAACTGCACTGCACAAACACTACACGTCCATAACTATGGCCAGACCCCCACTTAAGGAGCTGATTGCCGGCGATCTTATCTGCCGCTGTTTTGCCGCCAGGCGTGTCGGAGAACCTGCAGCCGCAAATCCTGGAGCTTCCGTACCAGGGCGAAGAGACCAGCATGCTCATCCTACTGCCGCCGTTCATAGAGGGCGCACTAGACACGACTTTGCCTTGGCTAACGGCCGAGACGCTGCGTTCGAGCGTGGCAATGTTGTGGCCCATCGAAATTGATGTGCAGATCCCGGAGTTCCGCATCGAAGAGAGCTACAAGATGAAGGAGGTCAGAGGCCGGAGCGGGGTAGGCCAGCCCCATACTGGTGGCCGAAGGGACTCGCGTGGATGTATAACTGCGGGGCGGCTGCAGACCGTCCCGCAGTCATCAAAGAATGGTGGTTTCTCATGGGCATACCATGCAACCTGGAGCCACGGCTTGAATCTTAAACTAAAACTGTGTAGCTCAATCACGATTTCCCAATGGGAACAGACGGTTCGGCTTGACGGATCGCATAATTAAGCTTGTGTGCTACCACCTGTTCGTGTCCAACGGCAGGGCCTTGACCCTGTGTCTGCCACGGGTTTCAGAAACTGAGCGACCTGGGCTTTGATAACCTTTTCAACCTGAATGGCTTCTCGGACTCGGGCAACCTGGCGCTCAAGAAAGCGCTACACAAGTCCTTCCTGGAGATCAACTGAAGAGGGTGGCGGCCACGTTATTATTCCTCATCCGCAGCGCTCGGCCTGCGGAGCCTCCGACGTTCATCTGTAACCACCCCTTCATGTACGTCATCTACGATCACTCGAAGGAAATCATATTGTTCATGGGCACCTTCGAGCACCCCAAGGCCGTGTCGGCGTCGCTGGACAAGAACGTCTGAGTCGATGTCGGCGGCGGCAACGATGGTTGCGAAGCTGAATCTTTGACGCCAGAGGAATCTCCAAGCATTGACAGTGCGCACGCGAGCCGTCCAAATATGTGTGATGCGCGGTGCGTACGAACGTGGGCGCATACAACCCCTCGTCATGCGGGACTGGGTGTACCGAGCTTCGCGTAAGGGGTGGCCAGGGAAGCGGCGGAGACGCCGGGACAGTGTAACCGTGTAACACGACCGTCATCATGTGAAAGGTAAATAAGTTGCCATTTGTGAAAAAGGCTGCAACAAAATATTTGTTATAGGGTCAGTTAGCGTCGGAAAATGATACATCCGAAACTTTCTATAATGACATAATTTTTAAAAGATGTTCACCCAGTTGATCCAATAAAATTGACACGTGAAGGAAATTTGTAATTCATCCACGAACATGAACAAAAATGACGCTGAGCATACCAATGGAAGCCATACTAGGCTCTCACCCAAAGAGAGGGGCCCGGCCCCCCTTGCTGTAAGGTTTATCTGGAGTATCCTCCGAACTGAGTGTGGCCTTGAGATTGTTGGTTGTCGAGGTAACGTGAATCTTGCACATGTTCTGCTACCTGTAAGGTTCTGATCTCGGCGTATACGACCTCTACTCTATGTGTCAAGGCCATGTCGGTGATCGGATGATCAAAAGTGACAGCTAGCTCTTCTTACGTCCTGACATGCACTTCAAAAGAAATTTTCCAGATGCGTTTTTCATCTACATCAATCGAACGTGCATAATTATCACTCTGGTGACTGACAGGATCAGCTCATCTAAGGTCAAGCTAAGTCATACTTAAACCTCTGTACTAATAATTTCTTCTTTGAAGGCCATACGGCTAAAACCCTAGTGGCACATTTCTTACAGCTTTGGAAGGGATTTATACCGTTGCTTCACTGTCTTCAACATTGATGTCATTTTCAGCTTTCCATATAGACGGACAGGCTATTACCACAACATCTTTCAAAGTGACATGACATGAAATCATAGGTCACATGTGGCGATGTCAGTTAGTGACCCTCTGGTATAATTTTGCATGTGGCGCTCAACGCCGTCGTCTGTAAAGTCAAAGCATACTGACTTCTTTAGATAACCGAGGAGGCCTGTAAAGTGCTATTGTGATCCTAATGACTTGATTTGACCTGCCGAAGCACCACTTGCTGTCAATGATACTAATTTCCAAAAAAATCAAGGTTATGTGTCCGGTTAATCTGAAGGCGGATCAGTACTTGTCGAGGTCCCTACACGTCTAGGTGTCACAGGTCAGAACAGATGCGACCATTTTGTCGCACAACGTGCAAAGCAATACACCACATTACTGCTGATTGGGTGTGATTTCGCGACGGTATGGAGATGTTCCTTCTCCTTCTCGTGGTCCTGTTGTGTGTACTGTAGCCGCTGCACGCGACGGCGCTGCTGACGGGCGTCCAGTCCACGTCACGCTCGGTCGGCGCTGTCCAAGGCTAACGACGCTTTTATTTGCTGGGAAACCTGCGCTCACGCAGCATTTATTTGAGCAATGATGAGGAGACATGGTAGTATTCAACCGTCACTCATCGCACCATCAGAACACATGGCCTATGCAAAACAACGAATGAAAACGCAAATGATGACAAGTTTTACGCCTTTAAAGCCTTAAAGATAGCGTTCATGTCATCAGAAACAGGGGAATGCTGCTGTTTAAGGGCTTGACGTCGCCAGCGGTGTGCCTGGCAATTGCGCTATTTTGCACTTGGTTGTCAGCATGACCGGGGCGAATGCAGCATTTTCCAATGGGGAGCTTCAACTGAAAAATATCAACTCAAAGTCCATCAACAACAAGACCATTGACACTTGCCGAGCATCGGAGGATGCGCGATCGATTTCACAGACATTCAAGGCGACTCGCTGTGGCGACTGACGGCCGCCAGGACATTTGGCAGTGTGCCAGGGCGCGGATTGCGCCCCGGGCAGGGCCTCGCCGCGCGGCCGATGCGCAGCCGTGGCAGGGGCGTAGTCAGCGCTGCTGCCGGGCGAGGCACGCTGACCCGGCACAGTGCCGTGCCTTCGATACAGCCTGCCGCAGCTGTGGCAAGGCGGGACACTTGCATGGTTTGAAGGGAGCAGGCACATTCTCACGTCACACAGGGGTAGACGAGTTCGATCCAGACGACGAGTGGCGGTTCCGCGCGTTCGCGCAGCAGACAGGAGTCTGGCTGTCGTTCCCCTTCGTACGACGAGTGACATCCCGCCGTGCTCGTACGCACAGGAGGCGGGAAAGTCGCCGTAGCTCATCGTCGTCTCGAGTGCGATGGGTGATGGCCGATATTTATGTCGAACATTGCCCGCGTCCTTCTCCGGAGGTGGCCGTCCTGGTGCACCACCCGGCGGACAGTGCCGCTGTCCAGTGCACGCCAGACTCGGAGCCGAGGCGACCGTCTTGGGGGGCGGACGTGGCTTCCTCTCTGGGCGTGGAGGCCGACGCAGAATGTTCCGGAGACTACCAGCATTTTCTCAGCTATTGAGAATGGGATGTCGTCTGTCGTTTCGGGGATCATTCCGCGCGGCGGTGGCGCCAGACGTAGGCACAGGCACTTGTCAAGCGAGTGTCACGGTGTTCGTGATTGACCACGTGGACGGCAGGCACCTCAGCTAGTTCGACTCCACGGCCCTGGGACAGCTTCCACTGGATTTTCCACTTCAAAGCCAGTAGGTGACGTCGGTGAAGTCTACCCCGTTCGATCAACTCGCCCCACCGCACCACCGCTGCCGGCCTCGCTGCGGCGCTGTCGAGCCGCGAAGCCGCGGAAACGCAGGGCCGCGGGGACGCAGAGCTGCGGAGACGCAGGGTTGCGGGGACACAGTGCTGCGGAGACGCAGAGCCGCGGTGACGCAGTGCCGCAGAGACGCTGAGCGGCGGGGACGCAGTGCAGCGGAGACGCAGAGCTGCGGAGACGCAGAGCCGCTATGACGCAGTGCCGCGGAGACGCAGAGCCGCGGGGACGCAGTGCAGCGGAGACGCAGAGCTGCGGAGACGCAGAGCCGCGGAGACGCAGAGCCGCGGAGACGCAGAGCTGCGGAGACGCAGAGCCGCGGAGACGCATAGTCGCGGATGCGCAGAGCCGCGGGACGCAGAGCCGCGGAAACGCAGAGCCGCGCGGTCGGCCGTGCGTAGCAGTGGCCGCGAACGTACGGAGCCCAACCGACTCCAAGTGCACTGGGAAAAAAGACTTAAAAACAGTATGTTGTAACGCAATGCGTATGTTGTGAGACACTTGCAGTGCCTCGAGGGAGGTGTTTCGTTACCAGGTGCAACGCCTGACATCCCTTGCCGCGCCGGTCGTCGTTCTTGGTTCAGTGTTCCCGAGGCTCGTGCCAGACGTGGTTAGTACCCACTTGTGTTTATTGACGCTGGACGATGCAAATGGTTTTCCGACAGACTTCTTGCGTCGCCGTTAGTGACCAACGAATAAACGTCCCACCATCCACCTTTAACACGCGCCCGGATGACCGGATGAAAATCCTTCGCTAGGGTGGGGGTTAAGTTGATCCACCGAAATTTCATGAACTAAGAAAGCTGGAGATACTAAATTTATAGGGTGTGTTGGCCCGTACGTGGTCTCAATTAGGTCAATTGTTTGGCTCCTAATTCAATACCTTTGCTTAAAACAACGTTGAAAAAGATCAAACTCCAGATTGGGGGCCAAGTGCTCCGGAATTTTTATGCAGCCTCCGCGAACCAAGACACTTGTTCTAAGCAAAAGTATCTGTTGTTTATTTAAGGTCACTGGCCTTGTTCAACCTTTTGAAGGCCATGGTTACCAAATCAAAAGGACTGCTTTGAATTTGCATTTGAATCGGCGTCAGGGTTTGCGCTAGGCAGTATGTTCCTAAAAATAAAATGTTAAACTGGGCCACTTTAGGTGGCTGACGACCTGTGACCTTTCAGACTGACATAGTAGATACATCATGTGGTTCCTGGCATCAAGAACCTAAACATGAGCACATAAACTGCCTCAAACATCAAGCTCCAGAGTAACAAAACAGGTTGACCGTAACCTTTGTGTGACCTTCATACTTGATCCCAAGTGGTTCGAAGTTGGCAATTCGATTGCCGTGTTGCCTAGGAAACTATCTCAAAGATGCATAGCTTTATCTGACACTCCGTTGCTGCATCAGATTGGACGATTTCCCACAAACTGTCTTTCCTGAACTATATCTTGACTTGGACCCCCTTAGGTCAAGAACCTTACGAGGTACATTATAATCTTAGATACCCAACGATCTGCTCTTCAATTGTCTAAGGCCTATTTGGCCTGCCTAAGCCACGCTCTTCGCGAATCATTCCTCCCCCCCCCCAAAAAAAAAACCATCAGAGGTTCAAATTGACTCCACCCATGCACCTGAATAAGGACTATTACGTTTCTGGTCTCTGCACTGGTCACGAGACGTATATATCCGTCGAGGCGCCGCAGCAGTGCAGACACTTTCGGGTCATCTGTCCTTGAGTTAAAGCGCAAACTCCTCTTGCCACATGTCACCTCTTCTCTCTGTGTGCATCAAACAACCCCGCTCAACTCGATGTAGGTGGTTACCGCTCTCATCTATCTTTGGTCCTCGATCCTCGGCCCTCGATCCAGTTCAAGTCAGGTCGATCCAGTTCAGTTGCCAGGCTTCCGCGGCAACATGGCCCTGTGCCCTGGGTGCACCGGACCATAAACCGCCACTGGTGCCGCTTGTGATAGGGCCACAAAAAGACGGTGCTGAATGTAAACAAAGCGGCAGAACAGCGGCATGCTCTCCAGTGCATCACGTTGCGTGCGTCGGGGCACACTACGCCTGATCGTCCCTCAACGAGTGGTGAGTTTTACACACCGAGCCGCTGCAGCTGACGGCAATTCAGGAGAACCAGGGTGCGAAAAGCTGAATCCGCGTTGGAAAAGAAAGGTGTCGACTGCTGATGTCACGATGCATAAACGCTGGGTAGGAACCTTAATAT